CACTGTCTAGACATTCTGTAAAATTATTAAAATCAAGAAAGTGTCCTTAGTTGTACTTAAGGGGATGGTTGTCACACTTTTTAAAGATGTGTTACAACCCACCCCACCCCTCTTAGCTATTGTTTAACTAGCTGTAATAGCTAGGATAGTGGTTTGAAATTAGCAGGGGAAAAATACATCACAGTTTACCTGATAAACTACAATTTAATCTTATTTAAGTCATATGATTTTATCTGCAATAGTATAAATGCTAAACAAAATATAGTCTTGGTTGAAAAAATTACTTTCTTACCTCAAAATCTGTTTTTTATTTGTAAAATCTGCATGTACCTGTTTCCAGCCTTGATATCCATCATGTGGGTTTAGGGAGGGAGTATGTAAACACTGAAATGATCACATAACTCTCATCCTATTCCTGATTGCTGGAATTGGTGGTGTTACGACTCACCCCATGTTACAACCATACCCGGTCTCCCCTAATAAAGCGGGGTCGCACGCTCCACGAAGATGAAACCGTGTGGGTTGAGTCTACATGGTTCTCATGGCGAGTTTAAGGAGGACCGACCGTCGCACCAGTACGAACAGACCAGCTTCCGAAAGTGAAGAGTTAATAGTAAAATGGGAGAAGTCGCTCGGGCCAAGGCACCCAAGAAGAAAGCGAAATCTAAAAAAAATAGAGGAGTCGGAGAGATGATTGTGAAGGCTGTATCTGCCTCCAACGAACGGAGCGGCGTGTCTCTATACACTCTGAAGCAAGTGCTGGCAGCCGACGGCTACAACGTGGAGAAGAACAATTACCGGATAATTCTATCGATTAGGACTTTGGTGACCAAAGGGACTCTGGTTCGGATCAGGGGAGTCGGCGCCTCTGGCTCCTTCAAGCTAAACGATCAGACCAAAACAGCCAAGAAGCCCGCTAAGGTAGCTGCTCCTACGGCCAAGCAGCCAGAAGCAAAGAAATCCGAGGCGGCGAAGAAGGCCACCAAGAGCCCAAAGAGAGCAGAGGCAGCCAAGCCTAAAGTCGCTAAACCCGAGGCCACCAAAGCCAAAAAAGCCGCTCCCAAGAAGAAGTGAAGGAACAGGCGCTGACTTCCAGAACAAAGGCTCTTTTAAGAGCCACACACTGATCTCAGAAATAGAGCGTTATCTTTAAATTCTCTGCTCCCAACATGGCACATCAACGATGCATTTTATTTAGTCTGAATACACAGCTATATAACACGACTGGTCAACAGCGTAAACACAAGCCTATATGAAGTTACAAAGTGTTTGTATATCTCATTTTTATCGTAACATAATGACGACTTTAGTAGATTTTGTTGTTAAAATGCATGTGTACAGCGTGTTTAAACGGTATCATTGACATTCGCACATTAGAAAAACCGAACACAGATATGACATAAAGAAAACTCTGATGTCATAGGCCTAACTGCTGTTTCACACATTCCAGTGCGTTAGAATGGAGAATTTACTACATTTACTAAAATGTCTGTGTTGTGTACATAGCGAAATTTTAATAGAATCTTAATAGAATTCCAGTCAATTTGCGTAGTCTCGCTCTCTCTCTCAATTTATATATATAAAATATATTTTGTCAACATTTGGTCGGTCTATTCAATTTGATTGGATATTCTGCCTTGAATGCATGTAGCCAATGAAACGGCTGTATGTCATATAAGTGACGAAGCCCAGAAAAGAGGTATTGCTGTTTGTTAGTCGTTTGTATAGTGCGGTAAAATGAGCGGCAGGGGCAAAACCGGTGGCAAAACTAGGGCTAAGGCCAAGACTCGTTCTTCCAGGGCTGGCTTGCAGTTCCCTGTTGGCCGTGTCCACAGGCTGCTTCGTAAAGGTAACTACGCTGAGCGAGTTGGTGCTGGAGCTCCAGTCTATTTGGCTGCTGTGCTCGAGTATCTCACTGCTGAAATCCTGGAGTTGGCTGGTAACGCTGCCCGCGACAACAAGAA